TTGATTCTCGTAAATGTGAGATACGATTGTCATGTTCATTAATTGAAGAGTATCTTTCGATATCGTTATTTGTGTAATCTCTTTCACGCAATTTTTCAATAAACAAATTACGTTTATGTAAGAAATCGTTTGCATTATTACATGTACGAGCATATCGAATAGTTTCGCCTTTAATAAAACCTTTGAATCCTGATGTAGGGTGACAGGAATTACGTTTCAAATATTGAAATCAGTCCTGGTAATACCTGACAGCATTGATGTAGTTGAATTTCACCATTGGAAATAGTTCATTTCGCCCCCAAAATAAATGAGTTTGAGGTCAGTGCATGCTCACAAAATGACACACACAAAAAAGGTGCATCATCACACACTTTTTCTAACATCTCAAGGCCAGATACAGATCTGATTTTACTTTGATAAAAGACCAGATTCTGTTTTCTGCAAACTTTGTGTTAATGTCATTGATACAACAATCATGCATTTTTCAATCATAAAAACAGCAAGAGATACAAAATGTAAGGGTACTAGAATACTGTAATATAATTTCTTCCCTGCTCAACTACCTGCGCTCCCCACTAGGTTTTAGATCAACAAACACCATTTCAGAATACCTCAGTAGCAACTTACACATGTAAACCATTAAGAATTAAAAACAAAGGTATATAAATTGTTCACCTCTAAAATAGTGAGGGCGCTAGTTATAAATGTTTTTGGGGTGTGCCATAGAAAGACTAGGATTATTAGTTCTTTGTGTTAGGGGGTGAAACTTCAGTGGTAATGTATTGAAGATATATTTAGTCTCACCTTACATAACAGAAAAAAGGACAAAACATAATTCATAATACTTTTTAATCAAGTATTGCTGCCATACTACATGAAGTGTCTAATAATCTAATCCATATATGTTACAATAAAAGCCTTCTAGACAGTGCAATGTAAAATATAGAGCAAACCTTGAAATATAAAAATGCACACTTCTGATGGGGCACATTCTGTAACATTCAGGTAGATAACTAAGAATACTAATCATAAATTAGTAAGTATTGGTGTAGTACAGACTGTAACATTCTGCAACTTCGTAACATTTAAAGTTATTTTTTGTTGTTTGGATTGCAATTAAATGTGCTCAGTAATTACTATTTCATAGAAATATGAAAATAATACAGAAATGTTTTAAAGACTTCATTTTGTTTAATGTTGGTCAACATTAAAGCGAGAGGGTCGTCACCTGCACACACGCGGGAATTGAATCCCAAGCAACAATAACACTCGCTAAAAATGCAAAGGTTCATGGCATGGGTAGATGCTTGTTTGTAAACAATGACATGCTATGGCCATCTGACGCATGCGCAGGTGACGACTCCCTCGCATTAAAGTTTAGTTATATGTGCACAGTCCCTCAACCCCTGAACAGACCACATCACATGACAGTATGATTACCTTTATAGTTCGAAGATGATCAAGTTTTTTAAACGGGAAGGTATAATTTTTTTTGAAATATATTTGTTACTCTAGCTTAGCTGTTAATCAAAGTAAATAGTATTAACGCTCATACAATTGGTGATCAATGACCCATGACATCATAGAGTTGAGAGTTCAAACTTGTTGCTAAGATAAACTACTGGCAATGGCAGCTACCAGTGATAGCTGCATCTTTGAGTCTGAGTGTTTTTTCTTTATAAAGACAGGTTATTGTTCACCAACAATGTAGTTCAACAAATATAGCCTTATCGTATTCAACCCTACGATGCCGATGAATTTGAGCTCCAGAATGAGACAGGGGATTCAGTTAGCGATGATCGATTGCAATTCAAAATTGTATGTGCTGGTTTTACATTTCCCCGCGTGCGTGAACGCAAATGGGTCTATCCAATATGCAAACATACAAGATAAGCTTAAATCTTAGGCCATACATTTGAAATCAAACAAATGTATCAAATTTAAATGTAATAAAAAATTCAAACTTTTAAACTTAATATTATTTCTATTTTAACTAATTCTGGTTAAGGCCAAAAAAATTAAAAGATCTGGTTCTGCAGCAAAGTGAAAATGAAAAATCAAAAAGTTGATCTGTCCATACATGAAAAAGATATTTTTCTTCAGAATAAAAAAAAACGTTGTTTAGAATAAAAACAACTTTGTTTAGAATAAAAAAAACAACTTTGTTTAGAATAAAAAACAACTTTCGAGCAGCCTTTGGAACTGTGCATCAGAAACAGATGTGTTTGGTCTAATGTAGACCAGTAATTATAGAGAAATCATTGATTTCCAAGATATATACATGATATGTACATGTACATATAAATTCATATTAGCTCTTGAATTCAGGAGTCAAGCAGGCCAAGCATGTTCTTTAAATCAAATTAAAATTTGTTGTATAAAATATGCTACAGAATGTGTCCCTTTAATGAAAGCCCTCCATAAGTACTACATTACTCACAATTATTGATAAAACAATTATATTACATATAACTTTAAAAGCACTCACTTGATACCAAAATCTTGTAAAATACTGTTGCTTATTTATTTATTTATTTATTTTCAAACATTACATTTTTTAGATTAAACAAGTTTACCACTACTCCTCAAAACACCATTCACTGTGTTAGAATTTTGTGTAAACATATTATTTTACATGTCATCAAGTCACTATATACCATGCATAATTTTGGCTTGTCACTATAATATACACAGTATAATTACAATGTAATGCCATAA